GTGTGGTGGTGGAGAATGACTTTATTAGGTCATAGGTCTTGTGGTCAACACATCCTACACATTTATTTCTGTTCCTGTTTCCTTTTCCTTTACTATGAACTCCCCCGCTGGGCAGGAACAGGAGGGCACGCGGGAACTCCTCAGAACGCATCGCCCGCACAAGCTGGCCCGACACAGGGCGACGTGAGCAAGCGGTCGCGTGCGAGAAGCTTCCCTGGTGGGCGTCGCGTGAGCTGGGCCGTGCCGCGGGACGGAATCACGAACTAGCACTAGACGCCGACTGGTCGGACTTAGTATTCGTGAGATGTTCTACGATATATTTTAGATTATTCTAGTATATTTATGTGATATTTTATATGCTTTTATTATATTCTTTTTCATGTATTGTTTCATCTTATATTTTATTTTCCTTTTATTTATTTACATTTGATTATTATTTTCTCTTTTGTTTGATTCTTTCTTTCGTATTTTGATTTTATTTTTCGCTCTTAGGCCTTATTTGGATGTAATCGGATTTGCATCAATCCACGTGTGTTGTGTGGATTGGGGTGGAATTTGAACTAAATTTCACTCCAATCTACTCCAGTACATTTGGATTGAGCTGAATTCGATAACATTCAAACAAGGTCTTATATGGCTTTTTTTCCATGTGTCTTCTCCTCTTTTCTTGTTTATATTTACTAATACATAGTTTTTTCATATTTCATGACATATTTTTGGTCTAGAATATTATTCTTGTGAGGCTAAATATTTTTTCCTTGGACTTTAATCCTTTGATAGGGCACGAATATTTTACGTTTAACCCAAATCATCTACTGGGGTAGTAGACTAATAGTGGATGAGAAACATCCTCATAAACCATAGGCTGCGTGTTCGACTCTTCAAAACACCTCCCAATAATATTTTCTTTTTTCTGGGGACGAGAAATATTTTCTTTTTTTCTGGAGACATGAAAACAGAGCGGAGTAAGGGCGGGAACGGGAAGCAGACTGAAGCTCGGGAAGCCTTCAGGGGCGCGCATTGAACCGAAACAGGCTGACCCACAAAACAAAAATGCGGGAAGCTATAGGGGACGCGTGGCACAGAATCAGCCCCATGCGAGGAAAACAGAATTGGAATAGGCCCAAGAAAAAACATGTTAGAAGATGGGAAACCTGATCTGGTCGGCGCGACGCGGGGGCGCCACCCTGGTCAGACCATAGCCGCTCCCTCCCGCCGTCGGATGGTGGCCAAACAAGAGTACAAGACCAGGCAACAAGCTGCAAGTATACTGTATACAAGTATAACAATCCTAATAATAATTCATTAATGAATGATATTTTTCTAGAAGATAAAAAAAAGACCAAAAAAGGGTTACTTTGCAAGTTCTAGGTAACATCATACATCAATTAATTAATACACAAATAGATGATTTTTATATATCAAACTACATCTAGCAAGACAGGACAGCACTGTAGCTTATGAACTGCAAGTGGTTATTAATTTTCAGCCCTATAAATGTATCATTTTCGAGGGACGAGTACACTGGCCACAATCCCACAACGTAGTCGATGCTAAAAATTATCACACCCATGCCACTATGTAGAGGCGGAGCCAAGAATTGAGTATAGGGGGGCATGTATAAGACTAGAACTAGTAAACCATCTGTTATCTTAAATTTAGCTCTACGACTACATGCAAGATCACAGGCAATTTGATAAAAGAATATTAGTGACTGTTAATTGCTAGATAAAAGAATACCACTGGATGATTATGGATTACGGATTACCTGCTGCTTCTGGTGGCTTGACCACCTGATGGACACCTACAGCCTACATGACGCAATTTGGACAGCAGGTCGGCAGCCGGCGCCCGGCGGCCGACGGTGTCAGTTTGGGACAGCGGTGGCGGCACAACACAGCGTCTCACATCCGGCCTTCCACTCCGACAATACTGGCGTGGCGATGTCCATGAACTAGCGAAGCAGAAGAGAAGACGAACAATCGAAGAGGTGAGAAACGAAGGAAGCCATGAAGGCTCGACACTTTGTATTTAGAACCGTGAACTGGCGAAGCAGGAGAGAGGACGAACAATCGAAGAGGCGAGAAACGAAGGAAGCCAGGAAGGCTCGATGCTTTGTATTCAGAACCGATGAAGGGACCAGCAGCAATTGCATGTTCGTGTAAATGGGCTACTTCTTATTGGGCCTCAAATACACAGTACATACTTAACGTTTGAAATGATTAATGAATGGGAGGAGCCAAACAACAATTACATACATGGATATATGGGTTATTAACTATATACTAGAGGACTAGTAGCACGTCAGGGGTGTCAGGCCCCCCGTGCCCCCTCCCTCTGCCACTGCCACTATGTTAACCGTCAATAGATATGGGTAACCAAAATAGAAGTCTAAATTAATGGTGCATGCCTTACATGTTGACCATATGGCTTGGGTTCCAAAAAAAATACCATATGGCCTGGGGATAACCATCAATAGATATGGGTAACCAAAATATAAGTCTGAATTAATGGTGCATGCCTTACATGTTGACCATATATGGCCTGGGGTATCATGATGGTACGACGTCCTGACCACTCTGTTTGTTCATGCATAGAGCGATATGAGTGTGTGTAAATATTGGTTAGAGATATAAGGTGGACTAAGGTACTTATGGTTCAAGGATAGACCCGTAGGCGGGGAGGTCTTAAAAGATAAAGTGCTTGTGAGAGTGAGAAGGAAAGAGATAACCATGGTTCTAGATTAGGTTCAACCGATGCTAAAGGCTAGATAGGTTTCAAGGCTCACAAAGGTATAAGACTTGTGTATGACTAAGGTGCACACTTGTAGCTAGGTGTGTTCATAGGGTGTAATACCCTAGGGTTTTTAAAGTATAAAATTAAAGTGTTGATTAGGCGGACCCAAGAGAGAAGAAAAATTGACCTTTTGAATCATAAGGCATATGGATGACCGGAGATTGTGGTGGCTTAGACCTTGCTCAAACGAATCAGTTTGACTACTAACACGTCTTGTTTGGATATGTATGAATTTAGGACGAGCCACTAAATGTGGATCATCGAATATAACTTAGTAGGGTTTTTTGTTCAACTCAGAAAAGGACTAATCTGTCATCACCTTGTTCGCCGCCACCTGCTTACGAAGTTCTTGTTCGGTAATGCGCAAGCCTGCCCTGTTCCTCCGTCACCTCTGCCTTGCCCTTCCTCCTTCACCTTATGCATCACAACACTGCTTACTTACTTCCTCTAACTACAGCGCCGCTGCCGATTGTTGCTATGGTTCAATGTAAATTGTTGTCCACAACGTAAGTCAAGGGATAGTGACGTCTGAGAGGGGGTGAATTATGCTTTCTAAAAACAACTTGGTCCATGTGTCTACTTATCAAAACATATGCAAGATTTCTATCTAAATGTGCACTACAGTTTTGCTAAGAACACCTCCAGCAAATACCCTCAAATTAAGGCGCCTACTTTAGATTTAAGGGCTTCCCTCACTTTTGAGAGCCCTTTTTCTGGGCTCAACTCCAACAATAGCCCTCAAATTAGAGCCCCTACTCCTCTAGAATTCACCTATCAGTCACATTGAAGTCATTTTCCATGATCGCGAGGCTAGCAAAATAGTTGTCTAATAGGATCCGCCACAACAGGAATTAAGTTGCCAGCAAGCAACCGAACATTGGAATAAATTGTTGTGTCGCTTGGCCTTGTTGTTTGCCTTCTATTTCACCCGCACTTACATTCATTACTCTGTTTGTGCAGTAGCTTGTGTAGTTGTAGCTCTCTAGTGAGTAGTTTAGCTTAGTTGCTAGTTTTAGTGTAGCTCACTAGTTATAGTTGCTAGCCTTTAGTAGCTTGTGTGGTTTAGTTGTAGTAATTAAATTTGCTACTAGAATTATGTAGAAGGGCTTGCATGGTGGCGCTTAGTGTCAGCCGTTGCGAGGACTTCACCCCGGCCCCACCAAGCTAGTACCACATATAGTCCTCTCGACTGGCGTAGCACTAACTCCAGGGTTGTAGGGAGGTCCGTGGAGTCGCCATCCACGGCATCCACTCGCGGTTGTGGGGGTTGTACCTCAAAACCAAGTTGTTTGGTTACACGGTACGGACCAACCATCAAGAATCACATAGCTTGGAAATCATACATCATATTTGCACACAAAAGCTTTACCGTAATGATTATGATTCTAAAGTAAAAGTAAAGTACATGTTACATCATGAACTACATCTAACCATTCTGTAGTTCTAGTTTCACTCTTACGCATAGTCTCTGCAATGTTAGAGTAAATGCGCTTTCTGGGAAACGCCCATCCCATCTTTTGCGAAACCTTCGATTTCACCTAAGCTTGGCTTGGGTGATCACCACGCTCTAACAACGTAGGCCGATGAGAATCCTGGATCACCCATAGAGGTAGAAATGGAACACGAGCATACATAACAGATAGTTAGAATTTGAATACACATTCATAAATCTGCTCGATTTGAGAGACAGCAAGAATTTGTTCGATGGTCCCCTCAAAAAAAAAGGAAAGAAATGCCATACAACATACAAGAAAAATAACTTATTTTGAAATAGAAAAATATACAAAATACATAAATAAAAATTCAAATCTCAGCGTTTTGCCGTGCTTGATGATGCGCCAAATGGCAGAAGTGCGACCTCGACGGAGGCGCACCGCATCGACCATTCCCACGGGCCTCACGCCACCCACCGGCCCAACGAACCACTCAAACACACCTGTGAATCTCTCGCTCCTGATTGGCCCGCTGCCCCCTCCCACGGATCGCGTCCTCCGAAACAAATCGCAGCGGTCCGCTTCCCCGCAAATCCAACGGCGCTCAGCCCACGTCACGCGGATCGGCTCCCCATCCCATCACCGCCGCTATAAAAGCCGCGCCGAAACCACTCCAAAATCCATCAAAAAATAAATCCCCCGCTTCCTCCAAACCCAAATCATCACTTCCCTCCAAATCCCGTTTCCCTCTCAACACCCGCGACTCGCGAGATGGACGGCGGCGGCGCGAAGGTGAAGAAGGCGGCGGCGGGGCGGAAGCTGGGCGGCGGCGGGCCGAAGAAGAAGCCGGTGTCGCGGTCCGTCAAGGCCGGGCTGCAGTTCCCCGTGAGCCGCATCGGGCGGTACCTGAAGAAAGGGCGGTACGCGCAGCGCGTGGGCACGGGCGCGCCCGTCTACCTCGCCGCCGTCCTCGAGTACCTCGCCGCCGAGGTCCTGGAGCTGGCGGGCAACGCGGCGCGGGACAACAAGAAGAACCGCATCATCCCGCGCCACGTCCTCCTCGCCATCCGCAACGACGAGGAGCTCGGCAAGCTGCTGGCGGGCGTCACCATCGCGCACGGCGGCGTGCTGCCCAACATCCACTCCGTCCTCCTCCCCAAGAAGGCCGCCGAGAGGGCCGAGAAGGCCGCCTCCGCTACCAAGTCGCCCAAGAAGGCCGCCGCCGCCAAGTCGCCCAAGAAGTAGTAGTGCCCCGTCTCGTCTCATCTGATCCTGATCTCAGCTTGACTGAGTGGTCGTGGATGCCTTTTGCTGTTCTTGCGTCTCTGTGTGTATGTAGTGATGCGTCGCCTCATGTGTCGTGTGCCTCGATCGATCTAAGTCTAGTTCTAGTGGTGGTTGGTGATGGGATCTCCATGTTACCTAAGATTTAATGAGAACAAGAGGAAGTTGCCTTGCTTTCTTTGATGGTTTGTATGCGTCTGTCTTTGGTTTGCATCGATCAACTTGTGAATCTATTTTTCCCCCAATTTTGTCTCTGATTCCAAATTGGCTCCATCCTATCATGGTAGGGTATGCATTCATCTGTGATGGTTAGTAGCATGACAAACGAAGTGTCGATGGATGGTTTTCAGAAGAGTGGTTAAGTACATTCCTGACGAGAATGGTACGTCGACAGGTACATTCAGACCGGTGTTCTATTGCTTCAAATGAAATTCATGCTGTTTTTATTTTAAAACTTGATGTTTGCCGTGATCCCGTATTGGTGTGGCTGAAATGGGAAGCGGGACATTGAAACCGAGTTTGGAGTGGATGTCCATTCCTGACAAATTTTTGTAGTTTTCAACAAGTGGATTCAGATTGGTGCTCCTGTGTCTAGTTGATTGAGTTGAGGGAATGCAACCAATTTGCTGTTGGTAGAACTGTGAACAAAATTCGACCAAAGGTTCCAAGACAGACTGTAGAAAGACTAGTTCTGTGTAATCTGCTCGATTTCATCACTTTCAGGCCCTGTTTGTTTTCCAAAATAACAGAGTAATAAACAAAAACGTTCACGCCTTTGCAACTTTGTACAGAGGCACATTGCCACCGTATTTCAAATGCTACAAGAGAACAAATTCAATTACCAATGATGAATTATATATCACAAAAAGTGAATGAATATTACGATACCAGTGAAGTACAACATGTCAAACATACATTGGCACTCAGGCCAGAAAAGAATATTTAGCCAACCTTGTGTTACTAGCTTCAGCTACAAACTCCCCAGGGGATTTCGGCTTTTGATTGAGGGTTTACTACTAGCAGTATACACGACACATACAAAATAACAATACTCGTTCATGTGGTAAACGGTCTCCCAGTTTTTCGTCAACATCCTTCGCCTTCCCGGCCACCAGCAGCCTACCTCCTCAGGCCCTCAACGATGTAGGTAGCATACAGATCCCTGTGTAAGAACATTACAATGTTGGGTGGTTAGCTTGAAGGTCGAAAGGAGGACATGTCTTAAAACAAATGACTGCTACGTCGATGATCAGGACTGAAGAGTTGCAATCAGTCAACTTACATAGAGTGCTGTATGACTTCATAAGCTTCAGTTGCAGGCAGAAAGTCGTTCACAGCAACCTCCTTGTTCTCATTCTTCTTGTCTGATGAATGTCCGGGTTAAAGAAACCTTTCAATCTAACAGGAGGCAAACATTGTAACATTTTGCATCGTCTTAAGATAGTTAACACATGACCAGTATTTTTTCTTCTAAAATTGGCAGAGGCTGTAATGATCAGGTCAAGTTTAGGGAACTTTGCAAAGTAGTATCTTGTAGACAAGTTAGAAGAATTTATTAAGCATGAGGAAAACATTAATCACTTTATGTAGTACTAGACTCTAGGCTAGCAGGACTAAGTACTGATGAATTATAAAAGGATACAGTCCTCAAAGAAGCGCCTGATTTCAGCCAAGCGGTGAGGTGGGAGGTCCTTGATATCGTTGTAATGCTTGTACTCAGGATCATCAGCGCACACTGCAATGATCTTGTCGTCTGCCTCTCCTTGATCAATCATGGGCATAACGCCGATGGCCTTTGCACGTAGAAAACAGCCTGGGATAACTGGCTCCTGCATGCACAGAGGTAACAGTTTATGGACATGTTCTCAACTATAGGCAGAAATGGAAAATGACTGGCTCCTGCATGCATGGAAGTAACAGTTTATAGACATGTTCTCAACCATATGCAGAAATGGAAAATGTAGCTCAACTTATACCTAAGACTGCTCAGACCATAACCGATATACCATTTTGTGATTCAATGACATAAAAAGTAACAGTTTATAGACATGTTCTCAACCATATGCAGAAATGGAAAATGTAGCTCAACTTATACCTAAGACTGCTCAGACCATAACCGATATACCATTTTGTGATTCAATGACATAAAAAAGAAGAAGCACACCTGCATTATAACCAGTACATCCAAAGGATCACTGTCTTCACAAAGTGTGCGAGGAATGAATCCATAGTTGTGAGGGTAAACAACTGATGAATACAGGACACGGTCCACCTGCACGTTGAAATGGAAAACAGGAAATATTAGAACTGGCAAGAAATATAGCTTTGCAACAAGACTCTTGGATAATCAGCATTGCTTTACCTTGATCAGTCCAGTTTTCTTGTCAAGTTCATATTTAACCTTGCTGCCCCTGGGTATCTCAATGACCTGACATAGGAGTAGGAGTCACTTCTATGAGTCTTTCTTAAACATTTGAGCATGCATCAGAAAGTGCCAGGTGGCACAGGAATATGGATGACACAGACAGTTCATAGGAATTTGTTTGAAGCATTTTCTTAAGATAGTTAACACATGACCAGTTTCTTTTTATCCGAGAAAAGAAAATGCACTATGCAATTAACATGAACATATCGCAAGAATTATATAATGATCTCAAGTAACAAGACAGGTCAATCAGTTGAAGCATGATAAGGTGGCCTTACGCAGTTGAATATGGTTGGAGCGCCAGGACCTGCATGAATTCAAGATGAAGAACTTAAGTTCTGATTGCAAATAGCACAAATCGATGGCTGGCCATTTGTCAAGACAGGTGTGTACAATACCTATCTCCAGATCATGCCAAGGGTGTGCAGCAACAGATCTCCTGGACATGGATGACAGTATCCTTTCGTTCAAGGCAGGAACCTTTTGGAACGAGCCTGTCTCCTTCACGGCTTCCACACCGGGCGCCATCAAGACAACCTGCCAAGGATTACAATACAAGGCCTCCCATTAAGTTGATTTGATATGGTCTTCCAGGAGAAGGAAGAGCAAAACATTGTACACTCATGACAGAGTCCAACATTGACCGCGCGTGGTAACACGGTCCATACTGAAGACATGGTCCAACACTGACTACACTCGGAAGCTTTGATCTGTGTTCCTTTGTTATAAATATCCCAAACGAAAACGTCATTGTTAGGCTACCTAATAGGAGGGGGGGGTCACAGCCTTCACGGATCAGGAGCAATCATGAAACTAAATGGAAGGTAAAAGTTTTGAGAAAGAAGGCAGGGGAAAATGAAGATTACTGGGTTACTTTCGTCAGCATAGATGCCACTACCTATCTTGTCTGGTTTAATTAATAACTACGATAAAGGCGCATAGACAGACAACTCATCATGCTCAACACTTCTGTGACGCCTTAGATATTATATGCAATATACAACAAGTTTTTTCTTTCTTTTGCATATTAAGTATCGCAAGAGCAGGCGTAAAGCATGATCAACATTGATCATGCACAAACGATCTGGTAGCAAACTGAAAAGCATGATGATAGCTAACAAGGGAGCCTGTAATACATGCAGCACCAAAAACGTTATATATGCCACGGCAGCACGGAGAAACAGAGCCATTGTTATACATGATGCGATATCTGGACTAGCGATAGAACGAATGAGCGTGACGTAGCGCCGGGGTAAAGTGCCTGGCGTGTACACCGCAGTCTATTAATACATGCAGGTGCAGGTGCAGGTGCAGCTGCAGAGAGATGGCGCGCGGAGGCGATTTGCCTATTGCAGAGGACTAATGGCGCCTATTGCAGAGGAGTAGCCGTGTAACGAACAAGTCGCCTGGTTGAGGGTGGTCAAGTAGCTGCAAAGTTCCGTACATGGCGTGGAAAATTGCGGAAACTAAAACTAAATTAAATCAAGGGTCGGAGTAGTACGCTTATGGTATGAATGAATGGAGGAAATCGGTGGCAGGGCAGGCTGGCAGGCGTTAAACAGGGCTTGAATCGCATACGCGTATTGTTGACATGGCTTCAGGACACGGCAAGTAATCAGAGCGGCGAGCTCGATTGTCTAGCTTAGGAAGAGCCATCAGAACCTGTCGTTGATGCACAGGCACGCGATCTGAATGACTTTTGTTATGTCATGTTTTTTTTTTGAAATTGTTTTTTGGAGGTGAGAGATGCACGAACAAGGTCGTTTGAGTTTGGGAGGGAAATCCCCGAAAAAAAACTGAGCAGCATATTGGCCGACAACGCATTTGTAGCGAAAAGGAAGTGGAACCCTCGCGCGGTTGCTGGCGAGAAGAAGGAGATGAACGAATGAATGAACGAATCCAAATGGAAAACAGGCCGTTCTGAACCCGAAACAACGGCGTGCGCGGGCAGAGCATCCCATCCCATCCCATCGCATCCCCAGTTCCCCACACCCACCAAGCGGGAGCGGGAGCGGAGAGGCGAAGCGGAATGACACGGGGGATCGATCTACGACGCGGCAGCAGCAGGGAGGAGGGAAGACGTGGTACATACACACCTGGGTCGGCGGCGGCGGCTTAGATCCAAATCTGGGGAGGGGGAGGAGGCGCCGACGGGGAAGGAAACCCTAGAAGGCAAGGCAGGCGAGGCGACGGAGTCGGGGTGGAGTGGGCGGAGAGCCGCGTGGTCTTGGTTTTAAAGCGGCGGAGGACGGGGGACGAGGACCGACAGAGAGAGAGAGGGGGTGGCCAGAGACAGAGAGACGGTGGAATGGAAGCAGGAGTACTTCCCGCTTCCTGGGTGGGTTCGGTGGGCCCTCCCTCGCTTTTCCGCGTTTGAAGCCACGCTTACTTGGAGGAAGCCCCCAACACCCCCGGTTTTTTCCCGTAATTGCATGCGTGCCACTGTCCCTGGAATTTGCATGTGCCGGCGGCCGGCGGCCGGCGGAGCGGAGACGCGCGCCTTCTTCAGACGGGTGGGCCGGTGTCGGTGGTGCAG